ATGTGATAAATCGAATGTTACATGCGATAAAATCAACCATAAAACAAAAATCGAATTATGACACAAACAACATGCCATACTCCACAAGCTTGCCCGTCGCTGCTATACGATTAGGCGCAAACATGCGCACACGCACACGCACGCACGCACGCGCACATCTACACACACTGGAAAATCTAGAATCATGGCCTTCCCAATTGTGGATTCAATACGGGCGAAATAATAAAACTGTTGTTTAAATCTGAATGTCACTGGTTTGCGTGTAAAAGCTCAATTTGTTATATTTAATTGGGATTTTCAGCGCCTATTTTAATTCAGCACTCTCCCTCTCTCTCCCCTCTCTCTCTATATCTTCATGCGAATGACCTTGCGAGTCTCGTAGGCTATGAACGCTCCTCCAAACAGCAGGATTCCCTGAATGATGAACAGCGTCGCTATGAAGTACGTCTGCTTCTCTGAGCTGCACGTGTCTATCAGCCGCTGCCGAATGACGTCAGAGTCGAGCGGGTCCACCTGTGCAAAGGCCACGACCGTGAAATATCATTACCGCGATTTCTTGCGGCCTTCGCCTGTAACTACTGTTTTGTAACTACTGTTCTGTAACTACTGTTACTATTATTACTATTACTGCTGCTGCTGCTGCTGCTGCTGTTGTTGTTGTTGTTGTTGTTACTGGCGCCGCCACCACTGCTGCTGCTGCTTAGTGGTCACACCGGGTATTGTTACGCTACGTCCTATTGGTCTAGCCTGCACACTGGGTATTGTTACGCTACGTACTATTGGTCTAGCCATCTTTTAGGGTATAGTTATTCAACGTCCTATTGGTCTAGCCTTCACACTGTGTATTGTTACGCTACGTACTATTGGTCTAGCCTTCACACTGTGTAATGTTACGCTACGTACTATTGGTCTAGCCTTTACACTGGGTATTGTTACGCTACGTACTATTGGTCTAGCCTGGCTAGACCAATAGCACGTAGCGTAACAATACCCAGTGTGAAAGCTAGACCAATAGTACGTAGCGTAACATTACAGAGTGTGGAGGCTAGACCAATAGCACGTAGCGTAACAATACCCAGTGTGAAGGCTAGACCAATAGTACGTAGCGTAACATTACACAGTGTGAAGGCTAGACCAATAGTACGTAGCGTAACAATACACAGTGTGACTACACTCTGAAATATTACGCTACGTACTATTTGTCTAGCCTTTGCACTAGATATTGTCACACTACGTACTATTGGTCTAGCCTTCACACTAGGTATTGTTACGTTACGTACTATTGGTCTAGTCTTCACACTGGGTATTATTACCCGACGTCCTATTGGTCTAGTCTTCACACTTGATATTGTTACGTTACGTACCATTGGTCTAGTCTTCACACTTGGTATTGTTACGTTACGTACTATTGGTCTAGTCTTCACACTGGGTATTGTTACTCGACGTCCTATTGGTCTAGTCTTCACACTGGGTATTGTTACGTTACGTCTTATTGGTCTAGTCTTTACACTGGGTATTGTTACGTTACGTACTATTGGTCTAGTCTTCACACTGGGTGTTACCTACTATTGGTCTAGTCTTCACACTGGGTATTGTTACGTTACGTACTATTGGTCTAGTCTTTACACTGGGTATTGTTACGTTACGTACTATTGGTCTAGTCTTCACACTGGGTATTGTTACGTTACGTACTATTGGTCTAGTCTTCACACTGGGTATTGTTACGTTACGTCCTATTGGTCTAGTCTTCACACTGGGTATTGTTACGTTACGTACTATTGGTCTAGTCTTTACACTGGGTATTGTTACGTTACGTACTATTGGTCTAGTCTTAACACTGGGTATTGTTACGTTACGTACTATTGGTCTGGCTTTGATCGTGAGGACGTGAGGCGGATCGATGATGAACCAGAGGACGAGAACGCTGACGTTGGTCATCAGTAGAGCGCAGACCATGGCTATTAGCCTGCTGTCCTTGATCGTCTGAGGTGAATGCAGGGGTTAACGTTGTAATATTTACTCGCTGTCTTCCCTTCTCTTCTTTCTACCTCTTTCTCGTTATTTATTTCTCACACTCTTATTCTCGTTCGCTCTCCTTTTCTCTCTTCCTCTCTCTTTCTCTCTCTCTCGCTCTCTTTCAAACACACGTAAGCAAACACACGCGCGCGCACGCACGCACACACGCACGCACGCACGCACGCACGCACGCACGCACACACACACACACACACACACATAT